TTGAATATATTCAAGGTCCATATAAAATATATTCAAGACCCTAGAACACACGGGTAGGAAATGCTGGAGATGAGTGATTTATAACCTAAAACAAGCCTCTAGTTGCTTGGTGAAGGTAAGGGTAGAGATCAAAGCTTGTAGACATAGTGGGGGTGGGATCAAGTACCTCTGGCCTGTTGGATGCTGCTTTATTTAACAGAAGCATGAGGGTTTTTTTCATAAGTGCCCTTGAAATATGTGACAACTTTTCTGTTCTGAGTCCACAGACATCATGTCCACCATGTCTTCCTCTTTCGTGTAGGTTTTAGATAACTTGATTTTATAGACCTGCCTTTCTTACTGCTCACTGCTGTGGCACACTGCATTTTCCAAAGAGGGCTGCAACAGTATCTTTCATCCCTCATTCTCTTTCTACAATGTGACTTTCATACTCTCCCAGTTAATAGGTGGTTCTGTGTTCACTTGCCTTCAATCTGGGCAGGACTGTTATCGTAGCAGAAGTGATGTCATGTGACTTCTAAGCCAAATTCTAAAAGGTGATACAACTTCCACCTGGTTTTTCTTTGGGATACTTGCCTTTGGAGCCCTGAACTGTCATGTAGGAAGTCTGCAGTTTCCATGCTGTGAGGAAGCCCAAGCCATGAGGAGACCACATGTATGTGTTCTGGCCCACAGCCCCAGTTGAGGTCCCAGTCATAGTGTCAACCACCAGATATATGAGTGCAGACACTTACAGATGATTCCTGTTCCCCACCACTGAGTTACCCTAGTGTATCAGTCCATTTCTGTTGCTTATTATGGAAAAAAAATGCTTGGAACTGCATTATAATAAAACAAAATTTATTGCTTATAGTTTGAGAGGCTGAGAAGTCCAAAGTCCAGGGAAAACATCTGGTAAAGACCTTGGTGGTGGCGACAGTGACCCAGTGATCTCCCATGGCAGAAAATGGCAGAGTAGAGAGAGCTCCTGGTGCACTCTACTTCTTAAAGCCCTCAGAACCATGCCCATGACCACCATTTTTAATCCATTCACTAGGCATCGTCCTCAGAATCTAATCCCTTCTTTAAAGGCCGGCCTTTCAATTACCATAATAGGATTTCCCATTCTCAACAGTTACAGTGGGAATTAAGCTTCTAATATATGGACTTTGGGGGGCACAATTCAATCAATTCACAGCACCTAGCTTCTGAATCTTCCCAACAGAGTCCCTAGTCATCATGGAGCAGAGAAGAGCCATCCCTATCATGCCTTGTCCCAATTAGTGACCCATGTAAAGTGTGAGAGATAAAGTTGTTTTAAACAACTTTTCTAAACCACATTTTAAGGTAATTTATTATACTATTATAGCTGCATTCTTTCTCTGGGCACCTGTCTCTGTGCTGACAATTGTTCTTAGCATATATTACTTTTAAGGGAAAGCCTTTATTTGTGAATGATAAGGCGTTTAGAAAAAAGCAAAGTATGAGCAATTTTTGATTATTGATTGTAACGAGAATGCAAAGCATACATTTGAAATCTATAGTTATCCTAAAAATCTTCACTCTTTCATTACAACCATGTCCCTGAACAAAACTCTTACCAAAGCTGCTGATTGTCTGAATCATCAATTCATTTATCAGATTTTCTCCTTACCCACTTTGTGGTGCAGATGTAGCCAAGTAATAAATTGGCCAAAAGTCAGACAGTATAAGAAAATAATGAGAGAAGCAACCTGCAGAATCCACTAACTGAGTATCATTCCTGAATAACAGAGCTAAAGCTCTCTAAAGCTCTACATACAGAGGCATTCTCAGCTTAGATGACAAACTGTGGATCTCTAATAAAGTCTTAGAGGATTCTGTGAAAGGTCTATTCTTTAGAATACTATTTCTGCTTTTTTTTTTATAGTCCAAAATGACCACTCTACCCCCACTGTCCATGACATACCCAAAGCTTACGGCCTTAGCCAGACAGAAGCTGCCATGCTCCCCCAGAAAAATTCCAAGGTACGTGCCCCTGATTTTCTTTTCCTACAGAATGAATTGTCTGCAGTAAAAAGTGTCAATAGTATATCTCAGAAAGAAAAATTGTTTAAAGAGAAAACTATATTGCTATAATGAGAATATTCAAATTTGCTTTTTCAAAAGAATTGATGAACCTTAATCAAGTACTATGAATATATTTACCAAGCTAGCACTCATTTGATCATTTTATTTCCTATTGCAATTATGTCATGGTTCTTATGGCGTTTTGGAGGTAAGTTTCCATTATTAAGTGTGTGTGGAGAATAGAAAGCAGAAGTTTAGGAATGAAAGGTATACGGCTTTTACTTCACAAGGTCCCAAGTGTTGGCTTCTGTTCTGGAGGAAGGAGGGTACAGAATTACTACTAAGGTAGATTGGCAGCCATGAATTAGCTTCTGAAATGAAGCTGGGGCCTGGAAATGCATAATCAAACTGCTGCTGCCCGTGAACAGCTGCTGAGCTACTGGAGTTGTCACTGAGAAAATGCAGGACAGAGAACTCGATGCATTTTGTCATTATTATGAATATTAACTGAGATGGTGCTATTTTGAAATTGCCATTTGTAATTTTATTGACTTTTAGTAATACCAATATTATCTATCAATATAAATAATTTTCGTATGTAGATTTGATTGTTTTCTTTGCATGCATACTTTGCAATTCCTGCAAGGCATAATGATCAAAGTATTATGAGACCTCTTTGTTCTCATAAGTCGGAAGTCATTTTTAGTATTTCTGGGAAAGACCAAAGCCCCTGAACCAAAATAAATACATTTGGATAAACTAACATAAAAGTTCTTTTAAAATGGCAAATGAGAATTTTCTTTTGCTGTAGCTGAGAAATCTTTCAATAGCTGCATAATTCGTGTATGCGTGTGCATATATATATATGTTCTTATTTTCCATTTTACTTTGAATAATGTGAAATATTTACAGTCTGAAAAACAACTTCTTCTTGTCCTTTTTAATGATTGAGATTACATTTTCTTTTCAAGGTGAGCAAAAACACAGCTCAGTCTCACATTCCTAAGATGGATTCCACAGAAAACTTTTTCTGGTATTCATTTTATTGAACAAAAACATTTTTATCATAACCATTAAAGGCAAAGTTTGTATAAACATTCTTTAATAGCTTCTGAATAAAACACAGATATTTGTTTAGTTCCATAGCCCCATGGTCATGAGAGCTGACAGCATGCTTGTTTTTAAAGGTGCAAGGACGTGTAATGAATGAACACACTGCAAGTACAGTGTAATGTATTTCTCAGCAAAGTCTTCTTAAAATTGTTTGGCACATTGCACCTTTAATAACAATTTGAGTTTTATGTGTGATTAAAAAAAGAGTAAACAGTATTTTAGGGAAAAATTTAGTAATGTTTGGAACAAATAAATTTTACACATTGGTATCACATAAGTGTTCTTGGTTCAAGATTCTGTGTCAAACAAAATATGTCTTCAGCAGTTGGAAAGTTACACTGTGAAACAAGGTGAGCAAATGGAAGACTTTATCAGCTTTGAGGAGAAAACTCCATTTATTTAAGAATGTAGATTATTTCAATGTGTTGGTGTTTTATTTGCTTACACACTGGGTTTAAGATTCTTCTCTTTTTCCATTCAGGAAAATTAAAATTTTGAAATTATTAATCAGCAACCTAACTCTGTAGCTATTGCAGAACATTTATTAAATATGATGTTATACTCTGAATATTTCTGTTCTCCTGGTGGCGTTTTATATGTTTGGTAGCTTTTCAACTTGATAAAGCAGTGCTTTATTATTTCTTTCCATTTCATTTAGGTCTCAATTGATCAAAGAAAAAGATGACATAGATCATTATCTGGAGGCAAATTTCAAAGGATTGTCAAAAGAGGAGGTTGCTGCGTAAGTATAACCTTTTAAAGGTACTTTAATATAAAGTTTGTTTCTTTTGTCTTGATTCTTTATTGAAATTTCAATTTTCCTGTGCAGTATACTTTTTCATTGGAACATGGCATTTAAAAATTAAAGTTCATATTAAATAGTGATAAGTCATGTCTATTGATCTTAGACATATCAAAGTCTTTAATTTTATGGCTCTCAAAATTCTCTTATTTACCAAGTTATTATACTATTGCATTTGCAATATTTAGTCTGTGCCATTAATTGCTTATTAACCTCCACATTAAGATTTGTTGCCTACATGAGGGAGAAAGAAATTTTAAGAAAATGATTAATCTATCTTTTTTTTCCTGGTGATTAAAAAACAAACAAAAAAACCTTTACCAATGTATCTTCTTTTCCCTCAAAAAACTCATGAAAAGAATCAATGGATTATAATTTATTGGTTAATCTAAAAATAATCCTAAATTGTCTGGATTTGTTTTTTAAATGAGCAATAAATTTTGTCATTTTATCACTAGTTAGAATCTAATTTATGGGATGAATAAAAGCAGTATAAAAATCCATGTAGTGAGAAGTGAATAGAAACCTAGAATAATAGCTAAACAGGTTTAGTATTTCTTACCTATAGATTTAGCAACTCTGTTATCCTCAGATCTTTAGAGATAAGTATTGAAAAATGAAAGTCTTATAAATACACATGCATCTTATGAAATTTATTAAATATTTCAATTAAAATATTTTATTCAACAACTGTTTATGTAAAAATTCTATTAGTATTGCCTAATGCTGTGTGATTCTACCAAAGGACTGTTCCTAATCATATTTTTGTATAGCTTTCATATATTCTGAAATTCTAAGTCTCTTGATATATTTCACTTTATCAGATATTATCTTTGTCAATTTGCATATAACATGAAAAATCAAAGTAGTTCATTCTCTCAATAGCTACTTTATAGAAAGACAAAATTTTATGGTAACTGTACTCACTGCCACAGAGCTCTATAGAATGCTCTATAGAATCTGGGACCTTCAGTTAAATGCTATTGATTGTTACATGATTAATTTTTCGTGGCAACCTGTTGGATAAAATTAAAGGTCAATATTGTATGATAGTACAGTTATTTCTTAAAAGATAAATACATATGAGTGATATTTGCATTCTGATTTAAATATAATGATATCTAAAGAGCTTTAATTGGCTTAAGAATTAAATCAGAAATTAAACCTATTCTTTACATATTCAAACTAGAAATCCATATACTAAAAATCTACTGACACCTGAGCCTTCAGTGCAGACAAAAAAAAATTTTATCTGAGACAGTGCAAAATAGATGATGATATTATTGAATATTTCCTTAATAATATTATTTTTACACTAAGGATATTATCAAATTAATTTCATATTCATCATTATGCTATAGAAAACAGTAGCACCAGGTAATTCTCAGTCCTTGCTATTACATTCTCCTTAAAGCTTCCTGCACTTGAATAGTTTCTTAGACCAAAGCCCTTTTTGTAAGATAGTGGATGCAAATCATCAGTATGAACATAGCTTCTGCACAGCTCACTATCATGCTTTTGATTGCTACACATTCTAAACCTCTCTCTAGACAAGCTAATTGAATAGCATATAAAGGAGAAAATTGATGCACGAGTTCAGCATCTTCCAGCAATGCCCAGCAGATGCCATGAAGAATTATGCATATTCTGTTAGCCAAGGAATTACTACATAAAACTTTTTATTAACCATTCAACTCTAAAAAGATAAATTGATCAACAAGAATTTACTATTTGATATATATTACAGGTACTTATTTGATATATAATACTAGGTTTTTCACAGTGGAGAAGACAATGATATTTTATTATAAACTACTTGGCCCCATCTTGGAATCTTAACTTCTATTTGAGGCAGTAAGACAGGAGACAAATATGGACTGAGTGAGTGCTGGTTGTACTGTGAGGTGTAACCTGGAGGTTGAGAGGAAATCAGAGAAGACTAAGATGGGAAAATGGAACTAGTCAAGGAAGACAGATTTTGAGTTTGGCTCCCTGTCTGGTAGCATTATAAAATGATCTAACTGGTATGTCATAGATCTTAAGTATATAAGGATGTAATGGGGAGAAGTTGAAAAATCAAATTTTCAATATCTAAGATATATTCTCAGATCCTTCTTTCTACTGCCTTATTCTTCTTTAAAATGGTAATAAATGCGTTTATATATTTTCATTAATGTAATTAATGTACATTTGCCTTGATATCTCATAATATGCATACACTCTTTTTCTAGTCCCCAGATAACCCCTTGTCATCTACCCCCAAATATACCAACCTACTTATATATAAATTCACACGCTGTGACTTTCCTCCTATTGCGATGGGGGAAGAGTGCTTGCTCCTGTCTAAGGACAGCCCCTCCACTTGTGCTCTGCATCCCATCCCCGCTCGCCTGCTCCAAGACTTTCTCCTGCAGTTAAACACCTTTTCCTCCTACACTGTCAATTTCTCCTTTTCCATTGGATCGATATCACTAGTATTCATGTTTACTTTACTATTTCCCTTGACTTCTTATCCCCCTCCAGGTTCTACCCCATTTTTTTCTATTCTTCTCAGAAAGCAGAAGCACTGTCTCAATATTTTCACATCCCTTTCTTGCCTCAGTTGACTCTAACTAGGTTTCCAGACCTAGTACTCACTGAAATCTCTGTTTATGGTCACCAACGACCTCATCTAATGGTCATGTTTCTGTCCTCATCTTGCTTGATGTTTTCACAGCATTTGATAGAGTCAAACACTCTCTCCTTTTTGAATATTCTGCATTGTAGCTTCCAGAACACTATGTTCTATGGTTTTCCTCCAAACTGTACTGCCTCAGCCTCCTTTGCTGGCTGGCTTTCTCTTTTCAAATTCTCTGTGGTAAGGAGCCCAAGGGCTGGATCCTAGGCCATTGTATTAGTGCGTTTTGTGTTGCTATAACAGAATACCTGAGACTGGGTAATTTATAAAGAAGATATTTGGCTCACGATTCTGGGACAGCTGCATCTGGCACGGGCCTCAGGCTGCTTCTACTCATGGTGGAAAGTGACAGGCAGCCAGTGGGTACAAGCAGATCACATGGTGAGAGGGAGGGAGCAAGGGGGAGAGAGAGAGAGAGAGAGAGAGAGAGAGAGAGAGAGAGAGAGAGAGAGAGGCCAGGGTCTTTTAAACAACCAGCTTCTGTCATGGGAGCTAATAGAGTGAGAACTCACTACCCCTACCCACCAGGGAGAGCATTCATCCATTCATGAGGGATCTGCCCCCATAACTCAAACAGCTCCCAATGCTGCCATATTGGGGATCAGATTTCCACATGAGTTATGGGGGGACAACACATCCAAACTCTATTGACCCTCTATTTAGCTACACTCTCTACCTTGTAAGACTGGATCCAGTCTTATAGCATTAAAAATTAACAATAATTTGATGACCACCAGATTATAAATCCAGCACTGATCTCTCCATCAAGCTCCAGATTTTTATATTCAAGGATTTTTACATCCTTGACACTTCTTCCTGGATACATAACAGACATTCCAAGGTTAATATAACCTAAAATTGGACTCTTGCTTCACCCCTACTCCTCTCCCACCCCCTCACCCCAGTATTCCTCCTAAGTCTTTCCCCAATTCATGACCTTCTTTCTCATTCTCCCCAGCACCCCCTCCTCCCAGTTTGGCCTTATTGCTGACATTCCTTGTCATACAGGTGTCACCTTGAATGTGACCTCCCCAGTGAGCCATTCCCTGATCTCATAATAAAATGTAAATGAGTAATTGAGCAGGACAAGCTAAAAGTAGTTGTTACTGGAATGGCCAAGTCCACCTGATGGGGGTTAATTTTACTTTGGAATGGGTAGAGTAGTGCAAAGGGGCAAAGGGCTTCCAGGTTTTGTATCATCTACACTTACAGAAGGAATTTTAGAATGTATGCTTCATTACTTTTTAAGTGACTAGATTATTGCTATGCTTTGTATTTACATTCTGTATTTGACACTGATGATTTGACTCTTAGATAAGTCTTCAAATGGTTCATTGATATGATCTAACTTATCTTTAACAACTAAAGAAAGTTACGTCAGAAGTGTTTCTGTACTTTGGGTTTTTAACTCTATATAAGAATGTATTATTGTTTTTTGAAAGGAGTTAAAATATCACTTATTATCATATCATAATTGCTTTGAGTAGCTAAGTAATAAAGGTGTCATTTATAGATTCAGATAAAAATTTCTTGGGGGCAAGTTTTACAGCTCTAGCTCTGTATATGAAGATACAAATAAAATCATCTAGGGACATAGAATGTTAATTTGTTCAATATTATTTTCTGCTTCAGATATCAAGTTTTATTATATGGAAAAATAGATTTGGTTCAGAATTGAGCACATCTCTAAGATATTCTTTCTTTCAGGATATTTTACTTTCAACATCATCAATTGATGTTTATTTCATGTCACTTTGTCAGTTATCTCAGTGGCAATTCGAACTATCAGTTACCATGTTCAGCAAGTTTGGGCTGTAAAGAAACAAAGAACCACTTAATTTCATATTTTTTAAAGGCTTTTTCTCCTACCTCATATTGAATTGTATTATACTTACTCACATAAAGTAAATTAGCATTTTGCCAGTCTAGGTTTTCATCTTGAATTTCAAAATTTTCTTCCAAACGTGCATTTACGAACTACAAATATACTTGCTATATGGAAATTGAGCACCTGGATTTACACAATGGCCAAGCACTCTAGATATCTGTAACGAGGTAAAGACGTTTATTCAGGGTAATATTTCATAACAACAGGATGGGAAATTAAACCTCTTCAGGTGTGCTATTCCTCTGCTTCATTCATTTTTGTTTACTTTTGAAGGATTTTGTGAAATCATGCTGTTTTCTTTTCAAGCCATTTTTTTCTTTTGTAAAGTAATAAATTCTCTACAGAGATTTGCAAATTAAACTTTTTGAAGAAGCC